TTTATTACTATCTCCATCCCTAGAATGTAGATCCTGTAACTTATGTGCATGTATTAATGAAAAATGTAGTACAGGGGTTTTGCTACTAATGTTTAATATAACTGACCACAAAAGCTTTTTGTATATCATTAATTAATTATTGTTAGTTTGTAACATCTTTGTTCCGCAATTATACTTCTAACTTCCACAATATTGTCTTAGACTAAGGGGTGTTTGGAATCGATTCTGCTTCTGCTTTTGATTCTTTTTTAAAAGCGGAATCAGAATCAGTTTTTCGGAAGTTGATCTTCCTTAACTTCTAAAAAACTGTTTCTTGGAGTAATTTGGAGCATCCAGAAGTATTTGTGCACTTTCACCCAAACACTCCAATATTTGTTTGTGCCTCTCTGAAGGAGCAGAAACAATTTTAAGAAGTAGACCATAACACTCCCTAAGAACCCATTTGGTAACTTTTATTTTCAGCTTATCAACTTTATTATCAATTTGTTTTACCAAAATGTAAATTTTGATTTTTCGCGTCGAATTGTGTGATAATTAAAATAAGTAAGGTTGAAGTTACTTTTGTTGTTGATTTGATTGAAGTTACTACACATGATCATTTTGGCTATTAGCTCTTATAATTTTTTGTTATTTTATTAATAAAATATATTTTATACATAATTCTAGGAAAAGTACACAAAAAGTTTGGTCCATTTTCAGATAGACGCGTGTGTTTGGTTTTTTGACAATGTAAGTTATGTGTTTCAACTCTGTTATCACAGCGGGGGCCTGACACTTGACGCCAATAGAAATAGATGGTTGAAGATGATAAACAATAACTCTAATTTTCAAAAGAGTCTGGAAAATTCAAAGAAAGATATTGGGAGGTGCACCTCATCAAGGCGACCTCCAATCTATCTTTATGTAATGGTAGAGGGTGATAAATCACTTGTTGGCGGCGCGTGGTAGTGGAGGGTGGCAAGTCACTAGTAGGTAGGATATAGTTGAGTTGGGCGGTGGAGGCAACATAAAGTCACTAGATTGAAGTCACTGGACTCCGGTGGGCATTGTACTCGATTTGATTTTTTGTGTGTCAAAATCCTTAAAATAATTATGGAGAACAGTAATGCCAAAATCCCTAAAAACTAGTTTTTTGCTACACAATGTCTTAACTTGTTGGTGCGATATTTAATTCTTGTGTACAATGTCTTGTTTGCTGAGTTGAGTCCTATCATTGGTTTGAAAGGTATCATCACTACTAAATTTTTGTTCTACAACAAATGCTTTTATTGGCATACATAAGTCGTCATAGTTAATAATATGTGTACCCATACGGGTAACTCAGTTGGTCGAGTGATGGAAAAATTGGATCAAGTGATCAAGGTTCGAAACCCGCAGCGGTCGTGTGGAGGTTACAGAACCTGAAATAAGGCCGGACCTCTGGTGCGCACGTGTATAAGGCCTACCGCCGCTTTGCTGACTGAGACACTGAGTCACCGTGATTAACCTCCCCACCATCCTGTCGGGTCGGGGTCGAGGGCTCCTGGGGTGGGAGATTCCACCTTTTGGACCAAGTTAATAATATGTGAAATATGGGTTCTTTATCTTTCTAGCAGTGTTATATATCAAAGGCGTCACCTCATCCATACTCACATTCTTTATATCATATTCACAATAAAATATTAGATACAAAGAAAGTTGATTAATTGAATTTTGTGCGACAAAAAGGTAATTTTTTTCAAAAGATTTCACAATATTTCACGAGGTGGGGGGCATTACAATATTATAGGTGAAATTTAAATAAATTATGAAATAAATTACCAATATCAGAAAATTGCATACATACACCATTGAAATGATTATAAGATTATGAGCCCGTTTGATAACATTGAAATCGGTTGAATCGGCTGATTCTGTTGAAATTTATGAAGTTCTGGCTGAGATAGTTGTATTGGTTGATTGTGTTGATTTATGAAAAAATTATATTTAAATATATTTTATTAATAACATAAAGCAAAAATTATATGAAAAACAACTAAAATGGTCATCTATAGTAACTTCAGCCAATACAGTCAGAAAAGCAACTTCAACCTTACTTTTTTATATTATTACACAATTCAGCGCACAAAATCAAAAATTACGTGTTTAGTTAAAAAGTTGACTGAGAAGCCTGATAAATCGAAAAACAGAATTACCAAATAGGCTCCATGTAATACTAAAAACCCACAACTAACAAATTTGAAAGGACGATCTAAAATGAAATCAATGACAAAAACATAGGGATTAAATGCATTTTAAAGAACTTTGTTTTCATATGATGAAATTAATTAGGTAAAAGCTCCAATATTGCATAATAGCTCACTAATACAGGCAACGACACGATCATCCCCGCAATAACTCTGAAAAAACAATAATAAAAACATTAAGAAATGAACAAGCTAGATGACAAATAGAGAATTGAGAGAATTTGTGGATCGCACTTACGCCGTGCTAAGGACATTTGCATGGAGCCCATATTGTACCGCAAATATGAAGGAGGTGATGGATTGTGGTAACGCTGCCTACAACAAACTTAATTAATTTCAATTCTCACCCTCATAATTGGTCATAAATATTTGACTCAATACGCTAAGATTCAATTACACCAAAATTAATTAACAACCTCAATATGTTCAACTTTTTGGAACAATTTAAATTCAAATTTGAGGCTAATTGAAAAAATTTATGATGTATATATATATATGTATAAATATTTATAAGTACTAAAAAATAGTGAAAATTTAAATTTTGACCCCCACTATATAAATTCAAGCCCCGACCCTGTAACCTGACATTTCTGGCTCCGACATTGCATCCAAATTAACAACAATGTTGACCAAACATAGGTCCTGTTGACTAGAATTTAAAATTACCTGGATTATGGCAACCCGCAACACATTCCCGCGGAGGCCAACCGCAATAGAAGCTAGGGCCATGGCGGCGGGGCCCGCTATGAACTTCAACGCCATCCCAAGTATCGTCAAACGCCCACCGCATGCCAGGCCCGTGCCTTATGTAAGGCTGGAGAGGCCCAAGCCTCAGGGCCCCAAAAAATTGGAAAAATTAAGGGCCCATTTTTTCAAAAATTAGTATTATATATATGTATTTTATATCTAATTAGTCGACCCCTCCCAATTAAAACAACATGCCCCTGCGATTTGCCATTTACGAAAGATACCATTAGTAGAGAAATTAGGGATTGAAGCGAACTAGCGAAGAAGCGAAGCGGTCATGGACTCACGAGTGAAGGACTGAAGGAGGATTGGAGAAAATCCTTGTCGGCCTTCTTTGTTCAGCTGTTCTCTACTTGACTATTTGACTACACTCTGGCCGAGAGAAGTGATTCTGGACATTTCTGGCTTCGCACAAATGCACAATCGCACTAGCGCGGGTAACATTTTTTTCCTTGAATTCATTCAACAGCTCTACCTTAACTCTTTAAGCTTCTACTGGCTATAGTTATCGATTCTTGCTTATTTGTATATATTAGTAATTAGTTCATTCTTTGCTTGTTTTTTTATTTAGGGTTATCATTTATCAATATTGCAGTTATGGAATTCTCAATTTACAAGGAGTTAAATTATAGGGAAAAGTACGGAAAAGGTACTGGTGGTTGGGGCCGTTTTCAAATACGGTCATGTGTTTCATTCTTTATCAAAGTAGTTCATGTGTTTGAATTCCTTTGTTGTTCTAGAAGGTGGAATCTCCCACCCCAGGAGCCCCCCACCCCGACCCGACAGGATGGTTAGGAGGTTGGTCACGGTGACTCAGTCAGCAGAATGGCAGTAGGCTCATACACCCGTGCGCACCAGATGCCCAACCTTATTTCAGGTTCGGTGACCTCCACCCGGTCGCTGCGGGGATTCGAACCTTGGTCCATTGTTCCAAATCTCCCACCACTCGACCAACTGAGCTACCCGTGCGGGTTCATGTGTTTGAATTCCGTTATCACAAGAGGGTCACGCCGTTAAAAACGTCTGAAAAAGACCGTTAAAAGTAACTCCGATTTTCAAAAGTGCCCGAAAAATTAAAAGAAAAATACCGAAAGGTGCGCCTCGTCAAGATGACCTCCAAACCACCTTCGCCTTTGGATTTTTCAGACCCGTTTGAATATTTTTTTAAAATTGATTTCACTAATATCACTTTCTGATGGACTTTCCGGTGACAAGGGTGGCTGAAAACAAAAAAGAAAGATGGCCTAGCGGTCATCTTATTGAGGCACACCTTCCGGTATTTTTCTTTTAATTTTTCGGGCACTTTTGAAAATCAAAGTTACTTTTAATGGGTTTTTTCAGACGTTTTTAACGGTGTGACCCTCTTGTGATAACGGAATTTAAATACATGAACCACTTTGATAAAGAATGAAACACATGACCCCATCTGAAAACGGGCTCAACCACAAGTACCTTTTCCTTACTTTTCCCTAAATTATAATATTATATGCTTTGTATTTTTTAGAGAAAAATTACTAATATATATTGTTAAGGATACCACTAAATTATGTATTTTTTATTTTTTAGAACCACGCCTCCCAAACATTTGTCTGGATCTCAAAAGTTGAAGCTTATAAAAACATTTTTACGGTCAAGAAAGGTTGAATGGATTAACTATGGTATCCATTGAGAAGAAATTTATTGATGACATAGATTATGCGGATGTGATAAATATTTTTGCATTTAAAACTGTTCGACAAGTTGTACTTAATTAGTTTTTTGGTACATTCAGTGACATTTTGTTATCATGTAAGACTTTTATTTATGAATTGTGGTTTTTTATATGTAACCATTGAATTTTAGTGAATTATATGTCAAACAAATATTATGTATAGGGCCCATTTATGATGGTCGCCTCAGGCCCGAGTTTATTTAGGATCGGCGATGCCGCATGCTATAACTTTATGTTGCAATGCTATGAATAAGCCTGCATTTTATTAAATAACGCCAACAAAAAGTTGCTTATACAAGAGTATTAGTTTATTTAACTTAGTGAAATGGGCACAGCAAAAAGATGTTTTGGCGCATGGTTCGGTAGGTGGGTTTTGGAGCCATTGCGGTTGGAACTCGACGTTGGAGAGCATTAGCGAAGGCATGCCAATGATTTGCAAACCACTCATTGCAGACCAGTTTGTGAATGCCAGATTCTTGGTCCATGAATGGAAGGTTGGATTGGCATTGGAAGGAGTGGAGAGAAGTGTGATTGCAGACACCGTGAGAAAACTTATGGTGGGAGACGAGAGAAAAGAGTTGAAGCAGAATGCAATGGAGATGAAGCGGAAAATGGCTGATTGTTTACAGAAAGGTGGTAGTTCTTACAAAGCACTGAATGAACTAACACATTTCATATCTTCACTTCCGCGAAGAACTTCCATTTGTGGGACGATTCAGAGCAATGCTGAATGATTTTGGATCCTAGATCTTCCCAGTGCTTTACATATCTTATGCATCCCATTTGACTATATTACTAAATAAATGAAGAAAACACACTGTAACCCCTATTTTCAAATTTTTAACTTAAAGCTCCTCACTTTTATTGGTAGAATGTAGAGGTGCATGTATTAATGAAAAATGTAGTACAGGGGTTTTGCTACTAATGTTTAATATAACTGACCACAAAAGCTTTTTGTATATCATTAATTAATTATTGTTAGTTTGTAATATCTTTGTTCCGCAAATATACTTCTAACTTCCACCATATTGTCTCAGACTAAGGGGCGTTTGGAATCGATTCTGCTTCTGCTTTTGATTCTTTTTTAAAAGCGGAATCAGAATCAGTTTTTCAGAAGTTGATCTTCCTGAACTTCTAAAAAACTGTTTCTTGGAGTAATTTGGAGCATCCAGAAGTATTTGTGCACTTTCACCCAAACACTCCAATATTTGTTTGTGCCTCTCTGAAGGAGCAGAAACAATTTTAAGAAGTAGACCATAACACTCCCTAAGAACCCATTTGGTAACTTTTATTTTCAGCTTATCAACTTTATTATCAATTTGTTTTACCAAAATGTAAATTTTGATTTTTCGCGTCGAATTGTGTGATAATTAAAATAAGTAAGGTTGAAGTTACTTTTGTTGTTGATTTGATTGAAGTTACTACACATGATCATTTTGGCTATTAGCTCTTATAATTTTTTGTTATTTTATTAATAAAATATATTTTATACATAATTCTAGGAAAAGTACACAAAAAGTTTGGTCCATTTTCAGATAGACGCGTGTGTTTGGTTTTTTGACAATGTAAGTTATGTGTTTCAACTCTGTTATCACAGCGGGGGCCTGACACTTGACGCCAATAGAAATAGATGGTTGAAGATGATAAACAATAACTCTAATTTTCAAAAGAGTCTGGAAAATTCCACTACAAGAAAAAGGACTTTTAACGACCACCATATAACGATGATTTTAAAATATTGTCGTTAAAAGTATCTTCTAACAATAAATTAACAACTTCGTCGTTATTAAATTTTATTTTAATGACCTAATTAAAAGTTATCGTTATTAACTAATGTAAATCATCGTTACTACTAATTACTTCATTATCTAAATACCACGTATTATTTTAAAAATTAAATCAAAAAAACCAATTCATTCAAATAACCTTAATTATAAAAATTCAGTATGCCGCCTAATTTTTCAACTCCGTAAGATTTGGTTAGATAAGGAATACGAATTGAAGTATTCCTTAGAAAGTATAAACCCTAAGCGCTCGATCGCCGTCATCGCTCATCGCTCATCGCTCGATTTCCGAAAGTTTCCCCTCACCCAATTGCTGAATTTTTCCGCTCGTTCGATTGGTAAGCTTTCTTCTAGCTCAATCGCCGAAACTTTTTCTCTCGTTCAATTGCTGCAACATCAATCTTCCTCTTTTAGTCTCTGTTTTATGTTGCTGGATTAATTTGTTGTTCGTTGAGGTTATCTCGTTCTGTAAACTGATCTAATGTTCTCACTGGGTTCATAAATTTTTTGTTCTAGGTAGTTTTGAATTTTACTTGTATCTTCTAAATTACTCTTATGTTTTTCTGCAATGTTCTAGCCAATCAATGATTTGATGCATAAACTCAATTTAAAAAACTTTAGGAAATTTTTGTTTTAGGTTTTGAGGTTAGTTTATCAAGCTTTATGTTTGGCTAATGTAATTCGAACCAAACCAACAAAACAGAGTATTGCTGTAATACTAAAAAACTTAAAAGAATAACTCTTTTAGGCCTAAAATTTTATGAATTTAGGGCCGATATGAATGATTATGAATACTGAATAGTATAAAATCAGATTTTTGTGAATTCATTTGATCTAAATTTTATTTGGAACAATTTTAATTGATGGCAGATTTTTTTCCTTCAAATAAAATTGAAATCAAATACTTAGAATGGTTTTTTTTTCACAAGGAATTTATTCTACTAAAAATCTACCACTACTTTTTTTCTATTACTCATTCTTTCAATTGTAAGTCTCCATAATATTGAAAATAGTATATAAATGTTTATGTGTGTGTACATATATATTAAGTGCAAAGCTATGTGGAGATATATATTTTTAAAATTTACCAACAGTCGTTTGCAAAAAAATAAACTTATTACCAACATTCATCAAATTCATATGATCTACTTGCTCCAATTTTAATGATTATTGCATCATTTTTTGGCAAATTATTGCATCAAAATGAAAGGCGTGCTTACCCATTACAAGTGCTTTTGAAGTTAGTACGAGTTATTTGTTGAGTGGGCGTATTGTCAATGATTAGATCAACTAATGATGAATAATATATTGAACAGATTTTTTGAGTTTTTTTATTTGATGAGTTAATATTTTTCAATCGAAATAAATAAACTCAGACACATTTTAAAGTATTTTAGAATGACTGCCTCATATGCTTTTGTTCAATTCTTTATTATTAACCAAGCACATAACTTTATTAAATTTTAGCTACTCCTCTATTATCTAAACTTGCACACAATTTTTTTCATTTATAGTATCTAAAGAAATTTATCAATTCATCATATATTTTACTTTTATGTGGGATAGAATGACTCCTAACAAGGATTGGATGGCCATTGAAGATTACATTAATGACAAATCATATGAAGTAGGAGTTAATAATTTTTTGGACTATGCTTTTCAAAAGTTGGGAACAAGGGTAGTACGTTGCCCTTGTTGCAAATGTGTGAATGTAGAGTTTGGTGATCGTGAAAAAGTCAGGGAACACCTATTAGTTTTTGGAATAGTCAAACGGTATACCTTTTGGTATCATCATGGGGAAAGATTAGATGAACCACAGTCTATATCGGAAAGTGACGATGATAGGGAAGGTAAAGAAAGTGAAGACGAAGTTCCCGATATTTTAAGGGATCTTTTTCCAGAGTACTATGATGCTGGTTCCCAATTCGATGAAAATCACGATGAAGAGCCCAATGCAGATGTGCAGAAATTTTATAATCTCTTGAAGGATTCACAAGATCCTGTGTATGAAGGTTGTAAGAGCTCAAGAATGTCCGCACTTTTAAAACTTCTTCATATTAAAACGCTTGGTCGTTGGAGCAATGAGTCGTTTACCATGCTTCTAGAATTCTTGAAGAAAGACCTCCTTCCTGATGGCTCTAACTTGCCTGATTCTTACTATGAGTCAAAGAAGATCATGAAAGACCTTGGGTTATCGTATCAGAAAATTGATGCGTGCACTAACGATTGCATGTTATATTGGAAGGAAAATGAAGAGTTGGATAGATGCAATATTTGTGGAGTATCAAGATGGAAATCTAATAAACACAATGGGGAAGAGAAGTTCAACAGAAATGGTATAAAAATACCATTGAAGACACTACGATACTTTCCATTAAAACCAAGGCTGCAAAGGTTATTTATGTGTTCGAAGACTGCTCCTTTAATGAGGTGGCATCATAACAAAATGAGGAGAGATGGTACGATGAGACATCCTGTTGATGGATCTGGTTGGCAATCATTTGACAAACACCACCCTGACTTTGCATCAGAGTCTCGAAATGTGAGGCTTGGGCTTTCAAGTGATGGTTTTCAACCCTTTGCAAATTCAAAAACATCACATAGTATTTGGCCAGTGATATTGGTTCCATATAATTTACCCCCTCATCTCTGTATGAAGCAATCAAATTTGATTCTATCAATGCTTATTCCTGGCCCAAGAGGTCCTGGTGATTCCATTGACATATACTTGCAACCTTTAATTGATGAATTAAAGGATTTGTGGGAAACTGGTGTTGAGACCTTTGACGCAGCATCCCGACATCATTTTCAGATGCGCGCAGTTTTGATGTGGACTATTAATGACTTTCCAGCTTATGGGATGTTATCCGGATGGAGCACAAAGGGTAAGTTAGCATGCCCGTGTTGTCTAACAGATACACATTCAAAGAGGTTATGTAATGGCGGAAAGGAATGCTTCATGGGTCATCGACGCTACTTGCCTAAGAATCATAGATGGAGAAGGGATAAGGAATCATTCGATGGAGAAGTTGAGCGAGGTGTACCTGCACAACCTTCTGCAATTGACGATATTCTTCACAAGTTGAAAGATCTTGAGAGTATCATATTGTCTAAAGATCCAAGCGTGAAGACAAAAATATCTCATGAGGTTAGAGGGGACAATTGGAATAAAAAAAGTATTTTTTTTGAGCTTCCATATTGGAAGACACATTTGTTACGTCACAATTTAGACGTGATGCACATTGAGAAGAACATATGTGATAGTGTTCTTGGGACAATTATGAACCTACAAGGAAAGACCAAAGACACTATAAAATCACGGCTTGATCTTGAAGCTATGGGGTTGAGGTCTACACTTCACCTCATCAAAGAAGGAGACAAGGTGAAGATGCCTCCAGCTCCATATACTTTGTCCCCTTCTGAAAAACGAACTTTCTGTGAGTTTTTGAAAGGCCTTAAAGTTCCTGATGGTTTTTCATCAAATATCTCTTATTGTGTCAACACGAAGGATGCTAAAATTTCGGGTTTGAAGAGCCATGATTGTCACGTCATACTCGAGCATCTTCTTCCTTTTGCAATACGTGGCCTTCTCACTCCTCTTGTACGTGAAGCGTTAATTGAACTATCAATGTTCTTTAGTACATTATGTGCTAAAGTCGTTAATGTTAGTGATTTGGAGCAACTGGAGTTACAAATTCCTGTCACTCTATGCAAATTAGAGAAAATATTTCCTCCATCATTCTTTGATGTCATGATTCACTTACCTATTCATTTAGCCAGGGAAGCTAGAATTGGAGGGCCAGTTCCATTCAGGTGGATGTACTCTTTTGAACAATATATGTATAAGCTCAAATCTTATGCTCGAAATAGGGCTTGTCCAGAGGCTTCAATAGCAGAGGGCTATTTAGTTGATGAGTGTATGACTATGTGTTCAAGGTATATGCATACAGTACAGACAAGATTTAATCGTCTTGACCGAAATTATGAAAATGAAAATGGTTGTGATGAAGACCTGTCCATTTTTAATCATCCCGGTCGTGGTTTAGGATGTCCTACTATTGCATCTCTTGGAAAGCGTGAGTTGGATCAAGCCCACGTTTATATATTGAAGAACTGTGATGAGGTTCAACCTTTTCTCAAGTGAGTAATTGAGATTCAATATGTTCACTTTATTTCTACAAATTAAATATTATTCCAGTATTTTATTTTCTATTATTTTATAGAGAATACGCAGAATGTCATGCTCTAAACGAGCCTGGAAACTCGGAACAGGATTGGTGGAAGAAATTTTCAGAATGGTTCAAGAATGAAGTAAGCAAAAGTATATTAAATTGTAATAAGGATTATAGTATGAAAATGTAAAATTCTTATATTATTAACTCTCTTTGGTAGGTTACAAATCTGTGTGAGAATGCACCGGACAGGGAGCAAACCTTTTAGGCAAGTTATCTGGGATGACTTGGTAAGAAAGTTTAATTCCTGAATTTTTTTTGCATTAGGAAATTTGTTTTTGAATATGTTATATGACTGCTCACACTTGTTCTATTATTGAAGGGTGCCAATGAAGGGAATGATCCAAGTTTAGTTGATGTCTTCTATACGACTCGCAAGAAAGGAGATAAGCTTCCAAATGTGGAGACAATACAAAAACATGTATGTCTGCTCTATCGAATGTGTTTGCCTATTTTTTAAACCACTCCATTTTTTATTATCTGATTGGTGTTGGCGTATATAAGGCCCAAAATGAGATCTTCAAAAGAAGAATTTTTGTGGTTTTAGTTCAATTTATTGTTTCAATGGTTATGTTTTGTGAGCCTACATTTATAGGTTGTTAATTGAAATGTTATGGTTCTACATTGTAGGAGGAAATTCGAGAAATAACGTGTTAGAACTGGGGAGTTGGGAAACTGTTTTAGAAAATCTGGCGGATTTCTCAGAGTATCGTGTGATCACTTTCTGAATCTAATATTTCGACCCTATGCCTGGGTTACACGAAATTTAGATTATGGGGATAATCACTCTAAGAGACAGTCTAAAACTGAGGCACCAATATATAGACCACGAACTAGCAGTTTTAGTAGAACTCGAATTCTTCTGATTACCAAAGAGATAAGGCCAATCGGTTAGAGTTTTACTCTAACAGAAAGTCATTCTATTAAATAATTAATATGGACCCCGCCAGGGGCGCTGCCCCTTGGACCCCGCAAGGGGGCGCAGCCCCCTTGACCCCCGCCATTTAATCGAACCAAGTTTAAATTTAATTTCGTACAAGTGTGCGCTCCGCACCTCCTAACTTGTCTAAAATTAAACTTGAACTCCATTGGTAATCTGTAAATTCCATTACACTAAAATGAACCTGGTGATACTAAAATCACCAACATAACGGACAATGATCCATCACTTTCCAATGTTCAGGTTACTTTTCTCACATTTTTTTTGCATACCAATGCTTTCACAAGGTTGCAATTACTATTTTTTGAGTGATTTGAAGTGCAAGCATATTAAATCAATTATTATGATTCATATTTTTTTCTGAAATGTTGAGTTATTTGCAATGGGTGGCTTAGTGGTATAATATCCTGCATATCCATATATAGGTAGCACAAATGGTTTTTAAATCCAAGTCTCGAGATCGGGTTGTCGGTTATGGAGGAGGAGTAAAGCTCAAAGATATAACAAGGTCACAACCCAGTAGAGAAGAACTTCAAGCTGAACTGAATTCTGCTAAACAACAAAATCAGCTTATGGCAAATCGCATGGAAACAACACAAGAGGAAAACAATGAACTTAAGGGTCGTGTTGGTGCAATTCAAGAGGAAAACAGTGAACTTAAGGGTCGTGTTGGTTTTATGGAGTCTCGAATGGAAATGTTTCAAGATATGTTGGTCAAACAACTCAACGTTTCCATTCCCTCATAGAATATGAAGACACTGAATGCAAGGTATGATTTAAATGCAATAGTAATTAAAGACACTGAATGTGAAATATCATTTTGAGATTTATTTTTGTAGTTGAATAAACATTGTATTTCTCCTATGATACTAAAGTATTAATCATCCTATTTTAAAAATATCATTTTTTTATTTGACAGGTATTTGAAGATGACAAATTAATTACCAAGTGATCATAGAACTCCACAGAGCTTGACAAGTTATTAGATGGATTAGCTAGCTAGCTTAGTATTGAATCTTTCATTTTTTGTATCCATATATTTTAGAACTAGACTTGTAGATTTTTTTTTTTGTTTCTACATAGTTTCTACAGACGATTCATATTGTTTCTGCAAATGATATTTCTATTTAGGTACTATACTTGATTGTTTTTTCAATTGGTTGAATAAATAATAAGAAGTCCAGTAAATTCCACTAAGGAAGCTGTATTTAATCTGGTTCCATTCTGCAGGTTGTTTTATTACAAAATACTTTGTAAACAATGAAAACTTCTACCAATGACTATATATAGCACGTATAATTATTATTTAAAAAACTTCAAAGTTGGGGTTGTTATGGCAAACAATGTAAAGTTGTTATTGGGTATATGTCGTTATAAATAAATAACGACAATTATGTATGCCATTGTTATAATGAGACGATGAAAAACTATGTTCTCGTAATTATGCAACGACAAACAAGTATATTGTCGCTAATATGTAACGATGACATTTTATTTCATCGTTATTATTAACGATGAACTTGGTCGTTAAAACCAATAACGAGGGAGGCTATTACAACAACTTGACGACCAAAAAAAAGTCGTCGTTAAAGGTTTTAACGACAAATTTTAGAGCCTATAACAAGAATATTTTTCATTGTTGAAAAGGGCTTTTCTAGTAGTGTTCAAAGAAAGATATTGGGAGGTGCACCTCATCAAGGCGACCTCCAATCTATCTTTATGTAATGGTAGAGGGTGATAAATCACTTGTTGGCGGCGCGTGGTAGTGGAGGGTGGCAAGTCACTAGTAGGTAGGATATAGTTGAGTTGGGCGGTGGAGGCAACATAAAGTCACTAGATTGAAGTCACTGGACTCCGGTGGGCATTGTACTCGATTTGATTTTTTGTGTGTCAAAATCCTTAAAATAATTATGGAGAACAGTAATGCCAAAATCCCTAAAAACTAGTTTTTTGCTACACAATGTCTTAACTTGTTGGTGCGATATTTAATTCTTGTGTACAATGTCTTGTTTGCTGAGTTGAGTCCTATCATTGGTATGAAATGTATCATCAGTACTAAATTTTTGTTCTACAACAAATGCTTTTATTGGCATACATAAGTCGTCATAGTTAATAATATGTGAAACATTGGTTCTTTATCTTTCTAGTAGTGTTATATATCAAAGACGTCACCTCATCCATACTCACATTCTTTATATCATATACACAATAAAATATTAGATACAAAGAATGTTCATTAATTGAATTTTGTGCAATAAAAAGGTATTTTTTTCCAAAAGATTTCACAACATTTCAGGGGGTGGGGGATTACAATATTATAGGTGAAATTTAAATAAATTATGAAATAAATTACCAATATCAGAAAATTGCATACGTACACCATTGAAATGATTATAAGATTACAAGCCCATTTGGTAACACTGAAATCGGTTGAATCGTCTGACTCTGCTGAAATTTATGAAGTTCTGGCTGAAATAGCTGTATTGATTGATTGTGTTGATTTATGAAAAAATTATATTTAAATATATTTTATTAATAAAATAAAGCAAAAATTATATGAAAAACAGCTAAAATGATCAGTTTTAGTAACTTTAGCCAATACAGTCACCAAAGTAACCCTAACCTTACTTTTTCTTAATATTACACAATTCAGCGCGAAATCAAAAGTTACGTGTTTAGTTAAAAAGTTGACTGATAAGCCTGATAAATTGAAAAACAGAATTACCAAACAGGCTCCATGTAATACTCTAAAAACCCACAACTAACAAATTTGAAAGGAGGATCTAAAATGAAATCAATGACAAAAATATAGGGATTAAATGCATTTTCAAGAACTTTGTTTTCATATGATGAAATTAATTAGGCAAAAGCTCCAATACTGCATAATAGCTCACTAATACCGGCAGCGACACGATCATCCCCACAATAACTCTGAAAAAACAATAATAAAAACATTAAGAAATAAACAAGCTAGATGACAAATAGAGAATTGAGAGAATTTGTGGATTGCACACTTACGCCGTGCTAAGGACATTTGCATGGAGCCCATATTGTACCGCAAATATGAAGGAGGTGATGGATTGTGGTAACGTCGCCTACAACAAACTTAATTAATTTCAATTCTCACCCTCATAATTGGTCATAAATATTTGAATCAATACGCTAAGATTGAATTACACCAAAATTAATTAACAACCTCTATATGTTCAACTTTTTGGAACAATCTAAATTCAAATTTGAGGCTAATTGACAAACTTAAAGAAGAATTCTCATAGGCAAACAAGGGTGGAGACAGGGGAAGGCTGGCCGCGCGAAAAAATTTATGATGTGTGTATATATGTGTGTGTGTGTGTAAATATTTATAAGTAGTAAAAAATATAGTGGAAATTTAAATTTTGACCCCCACTATATAAATTCAAGTCCCGATCCTGTAACCTGACATTCCTGGCTCCGCCATTGCGTTGACCAAACATAGGTCTTGTTGACTAGAATTTAAAAGTACCTGGATTATGGCAACCCGCAACGCATTCCCGCGGAGGCCAACCGCAATAGAAGCTAGGGCCATGGCAGCGGGGCCCGCTATGAACTTCAACGCCATCCCAAGTATCGTCAAACGCCCACCGCATGCTATCACTTTATGTTGCAATGCCATGAATAAGCCTGCATTTTATTAAATAACGCCAACAAAAAGTTGCTTCTTAGTTATACTAAAACATATTAGTAGGAATTCTCTTAAATAAGATCACACATACTCTTACTAGTCAAAATTTGATTATTATACTCTTATTTCAGATATATTTGGGACACTTTCAAAATATATAGGTAACGTGATATATATCTTACCCATACTAAACATGGTAGCGCCAGTGTGTGCCCTCGACAGAACAAGTACCGAACCTTCAATTAGGCTTGGCATTCCGATGTGCCACCTATAAATCAACTATAGATTGCATCAATACAATTATACAAATAATCACATTTTCAAGATATAATAATAAATACAGTATATTGATATACTCTGTATCATATAGAGTATAGAAATTGCCCTAAATAGGAGTAAAAACGTTTTGAAATTCCAAAATAGGGGTATCATATTTTTATTCTCTGAATAGGAGTAATCTGCCAAGTTTGGAAAAAAATGCCATGTTTTAAAGTCTAGTAATGCCAAACTTGGTAGAAATTTACTCCTATTCAAGGAATAAAAAACATGATACTCCTATTTTGGAATTTCAAAACTTTTTTATTCCTATTTAAGGAATTATCTCTAAATAGGAGTACTACCTCCATCTTAGGGAGCGGAATTTAACTTTTCAGGTTATATTTGTATATTGTATAACTTATAAATTTTATACTTTTATCAAAATATTTTAGACTTTTAGTAAGAAATATTTTGATTTATAATTTTCATATTCAACAATTACGTATTCAAAAATATCATTAGTCAAAGTTGACTACCATTGACAAAAAACAAAATTTTTCAAAACGTAAAGAGTATTATTTTCGTCCCACAAACATTTCTCCAAAAGGAGGTGGTGCGTTTATTAAGAAAATAGGTTTATATGATAAATTTTGAATTGATAAAGTAAGAATATAGTAAGAAATGTTATACTACGTACAACCATACAAATTTGAGTTACTTACCTAAATAGGTCAAAAAGGTGGCCTAAAATCACAAATATGACTACATGTTTTTTATTACCCGTAGTACTCTAGTAGGACTATTTATGTGTGCTTGGACAAATATACCCTTGTAGCTTTTGAAATTGTCTTAAATAATAATAAAATCATAAATAAATAATAAAAAATTTAGAAAATACAAAATTAAATTTTATTTTAAAAAATAAATAAATAAGAAAAATTAAAAATGTAAAAAAAAAACGTCACCGCCTCTGCCACCCCCAACACCACCAGCTCCCATCACTGGTTAGAAATCTGCCAACATTTTTAGTAAAGCCATTATAATGACAGATTCAATGAAAATTTTTGCATTATGATGAGTAATAATATCATTTTCTTGACATTTTCAGAAAACATTGACATTTTTTACAAAAAAATGGCAGAATTTTCACCGATCGGAGATATCCATATTTTTTTTAATTTTCTATGGGTTTTTACTGTTTTTTATTATTTTTTTTTTAAAAAAAAACTGCCAACATTTTCAGTAATGCCATATTAATGCCAGATTCAATGAGAATTTTGGAATTATGAAGAGTAATAATGTTATTTTCTTGGCATTTTCGGGAAAAAATGGAATTTTTTATAAAAATGGCAAAAATTTTATCGATCGAAGGTGGTGGTGCTGGGAGACAGTGGGAAAGGTGTCCATATTTTTTATGGGTTTTGGCTATTTTTTATTATTTTTTTAAAAAAATCAATAAAAAAATAATTTTTTTATTTTAAACAAATTTTATTTATTTATTATTTTTAACGATTTTAATATATTTTCTACGATATTTTATTATATTTTAAGATTTTATTATGAAGTACTCCCTCCGGTCCTTAATTAACTTTACACTTTCCTTTTTGGGTCGTCTCATATTAAACTTTACACTTCCTTATTTACCTTATTTGACAAACAAATCTACACCAAACAGTGCAAAACAGTGCCAAACAGTGCTAAACAGTGGCAAACAGTGTACTCTACAGTAAAGTCAAATTTATTTCCTTAATATGTGTGAAGTCAAAGTGTAAAGTTTAATAAGGACCAAAGGGAGTATAATATTTCATTATGAAATAATACCCTTAGGGGCATTTCTGGTAGGAATCAATTGTTTAGTCCTATTTGGGATGACTAAAAATGCAGTAGTTCTATTTGTGCCATTTAGGTAATTTTTAGTCTTATATAGAGCAATTACAATACAAATTTTACCAAATTTAGTGATATATTAGAAAATCTTAATGAGACGAGCTGAGAATGAATGATGAGACAATCTTAACTGAACGGATGAAGTAGTGACTTTTAGTCATATTTTTGTAAAGATTTTGTATTTTACTATTAGTTTTTGAAACCCTCTTTTTAATATGCATCTCTCTTCAAAATAAGAAATGATCCCATGACAATGATATTTACTCCTTTTGTCCAAAAAGGTTTGCGAAATTGATTTTTCTTGATCAATGGTAGCTAACTATGACTTATGAATTTATGAGGTATATTTGTAGTTCAGAATTGTTTTGAATATGAAAATTACACAAAATATTCCTCATTAAAAATATTTTAAAAAAATACTAGTATAAATTTATAAATAATACACAAATACAATATGGAGTAATTAAAATCCTTACTCAACTTTGTCATGATTGGTTAAGAAAGTTTGGTGCTGTACCTATTAGAGACAAATGCCCAAAGTATCCCACCAACACATCCATACGTGTTAGGATTAGTAGCCACTTTGAAGCAAACATCACTCATCACCCGCCATAACGAAGGCCGCTCCGCCACCGCCGCCGCCTTCTTCCCATTTCCCTCCAAATCTCCGACGGCGCCATCCACGGACGCCGTAACTGAGTTAAGGTCATTCTTCGTTCGCCACAGCTCCAAGACGAACAGAAGCAGAGTGATCCAAACAACGCTCTGGATAACCGACGACTGGACGATCAGGTCGACCGCCGCCGGGCCGTACATGGCTTTGACCAGCGGCACGCCTATGACGAGACCGTTGTTTAGGGTGGAGAGAGAAAAGGCGGTGATGAAGCGGCCGAGGGTCCCGCTGCTGCTGCACCGGGCCCACGCCGCCAGAACGGCGAAGATGATGGCCTTGGAGACGGCGTCAGCGGCGGCGAACTTGCCGTTCATCGCGAATGGGTCGACATGGACGGTGAACTCGAAGGTGAAGAGGGGAAGGGTGAAGTAGCTGACGAAGCGGTTGACGGCGTCGTACTGCTCCGCCGTAAAAATGCGCCACCATTTCACGGAGGCGTAGCCAAGAAACAGAGCCACGTAGAGTGGCATCACCGCCACGACCACATTGTATACATTTTCCCACCCAATCATTGATTAAGGTATAAAAGTATACTACGTAGTACGTATTAGCTAGGAAATCTTATATACACAGTACGTATATGTGTGTGTGTATTTCCAAGTTCCAACAGCTAGCTCACCTTATAAGCACTTACGTGCGCACGAATTGAAGAGCATCTCGAATGCGATTCAAAGTACGGCAAGGAATCTTATGTCAACTTTTTTTATTGTACAACTTGTGCGAGTAAATGTTTAAAATTTAAATGTTAAAATAAATATTTGAAGATACTACCAGTTAAATAGCGTATTATATTTCAAAAAATCATTTTACTGACTTCTCGGTTGAACTTTTACCTGAAATTTGGTATGGGTAAACTAGAATTAATGAAGAAGATGCTCAAACAAATTCATCAAAAAATTCCACCGATAACCGCCCAAATGGCAACGGTCAGACATAGTCTCCTATAAAAGGGGCGATTTGGACTTTTCGGTTAGTTCGAGAGCTTATTTGCACCTTTCCCTTTAAAAAATATTACTCCGTAACTCTTACTTCTAGCATATTTTATAGGTGACAACTCCGGTACCCATTTAGAAAATGGGTACCGTACCTATCACTCAATTGATTGGTTCAAATCATTACATCATTTTTAATTTAGATTTAAATAATTCAACTGCATCATTCTAATTGGTCCACATGGACAAAGGTATGGTACCTTAAGGGTACCATAGAATCTACCTATTTTATAGCCTTTAAAGCATGGTCATCCAAAAACATGACATGAAATTTTCACGATGACAATTACGTACTCCTATTTAAATAAGAAAAATACAACGGTCTTATTTTAGAATACTCAAACATTTTTGCTTTTGGAATTTTTCCTTGTTTGTAACGTCCGTTCAATAAAATTTATTGTTTTATAATGGAAAACTGCCCTAAATAGGGTTAATAGGTTTTGGACTTTCAAATAATGACTACCATGTTTCTTATCAAAATAGAAATCGTTATTACCATGATTGAAAAATATTTTCAGTAATTATAGTAAATATTGTCATGTTAATATCTATTACTGCAACTATTTTGATAATATTGACTCCAAGATGACAGTAAATATTATCATGACACTACAAAAAAAAACCTAATTGACACTGGTTTGACATGGATCTTTGGCAGAGATTTGCCGAATTTTATATGTAATTTGCACTAAATTGGCACGGATACGTACGTACGTAGCAAATATCGTTGTCTTTTTGTAATGGAAAAAATAATTAAAATACTTCAAACTTTGTAGGGGTGTGAGATGAACAGCCCAAACTTGCATAAGTAATTTAAATACCCAAACTTTATATAAAAAGTTATTTTAGCACCATAGTCAAGTATTATTTCTTTCAAAAATGTAAATTTATGGTGTTAATTGCATAATTTAAAATATTTTAGAATTCATGAAGACACAACTAACATTCTAAACATCCATTGTGAAATAAATAATGTTACCCCCAATCTATATAATTGCAACACTTTTAATTTGCTATTTTAAATCATGCAATTAACCCCATAAATTTACATTTTTGAAAGTAATAATACATGAAAATGATTTTAAAATAAATTTTTATATAAAGTTTAGGGTATTTATATTACATATGCAAGTTTGGGGTGCTTACCTCACACCCCTTCAAAGTTTGGGATATTTTTATTATTTTTCCCTTTTGTAATGTATATTAGTCCCATTTACAAAAGAAAAACCTAGTAGTTGTGTTTTGAAATTCCATGACTTATTTACTCCTATTTTGGGAGGTAGATTCTATGGTACTCATAAGGTACCATACCTTTGTCCACATGGACCAATGAAAATGTAGCAGTTGAATTATTTAAATCTAAATTAAAAATGATAAAGTGATGTTGTCCAATCAAATGAATGATAGATACGATACCTCATTTTTTAGAAAGGTACCGGAGTTGTCACATTTTGGAACTACCCCTTTTGGGATATTCCCAAGCAATGAAGTGTGACCACAGGCCGAACCTACAATTAATTAACATAAATACTCAAAGACAATAAAATGTGCCTCAATATTCACCAAATTATCCCGCTCGATTGAAGGAATATTTGTTTATTCATGCATGCATTGCATACTTGCATATATGCCCACGGAATTTGGCAAATATTAGGGTATGTTTGGCACAACTACCTGAAAAAATACTTTTATGAGCGTTTTAGTAATTGTTAGCTTTTAGTCACTGAAAAGATCTTAAAAAGAAAATGAGTAGCTGTTTGATAAAAAGCTGACTGTTTGATTTAACTTTGTTTGGCATACAAACTGTTAAGACTAATTAATGTTAGGAGCTACGGACTTGTCTGAGATGCTACTCACTATAGCATCTCAAAAAAATCTTTTATTTTTATAAAAGCTCTTAAAATTTGCATGCCAAACATACAACTAAAAGCTTTTAAATACTTTTTAAATAGTACAAAAGCTAAAAAGCAGAAACTTATGCCCGCCAAACATAACCCTTAAGCAATCAAAGTCATGAATCGATACACGCACTGTTATAATAGAGAGGCAATACAATTACACATCAAATATAATGGGCCCATACATTCTTTAAAATAAATTGTTCCAGATTCGATCAAATAAGTAAGGGTGGGAAAATGGTTCGGTTTAATAATCGAATGGAGCCGTACCTAACTGAATAAAGTCAAAGTGAAACTGAAATAGTTTAAATTTGATAAAAATCGTATTAAACCAAACCCAAATCAAGAAAAACTGAATAAAACAAAACCGAACTAAAAATATTCAATAAAATCTTCATATATTTTTAAAAAATAAAAAATTCAAACCGAACCAACTAAACCGAACTAAACCAAACCGGAACGTAGTATGATTTTTGTTTGGTACTCATTCTTCCAATCTGTTTCAATTGAACTGCAAACTGATAAAAACAGAATTGGACCTGATAGGCTGATAATAATAACGGTGGTGGTGGTGGTGGTGGTGGTGGCCGCGGCACGGCGACAGATGTGATGGTGGTGGTGGTCGCGGCGGCAGAGGTGGTGGTGGTGGTGATGCTGATGGTGATTACGATAATCATCATAATAATAATGATAATAATTCAAAAATAATAAGGACTAAATTAAATCTAATCAGAAAGATTCAGATACAACAACAACAACAACAACATCCAAGCCTTAGTCCCAAAAGATATTGGGGTCGGCTAACATGAATCGATACATGATATCACAACCAAAAGGAAAGGAAGGAAAAAAGATAAAAAGATAAGCTATTATGAAAAGATAATATAAAAAAGATGAATATATATAAAAATGATAAAATAAAAAGGCTGAAAATAATGCATATATATATATAAGGATAAAAAAAAACTAGGGAAAAAAAAAAGATGAGGGAAAAAGATTATCAAGATCACTCCTTCACGTGAATACCCGCCCTCCACTTAGTTCTCTCCAAAGTCATGCCCTCATCCAACCCCAGAAGAAGCATATCACTTCGAACTCCCCTAACCCACGTCTGTTTGGGTCTTCCTCTCCCTCTCTTCCCTGCCTCTTCTCCACACATCTCAACTCGCCTAACAGGTGCATCACTCGGTCTTCTACGCACATGACCAAACCACAGTAGGCGCGACTCCCGCATCTTGTCTTCAATAGGTGCTACTCCCACCCTTTGTCTGATTGTCTCATTCCTCATGCGGTCCTTCCTAGTATGCCCACACATCCAACGCAGCATGCGCATCTCTGCCACACTCATCTTTTGAATGTGACATTGTTTCACCGCCCAACACTCTACGCCATACAGTAATGCAGGCCTAATTGTTGTCCTATAAAATTTACCATTCAGTCTAGTCGGCATACCTCGATCGCATAGAAATCCTGACGCACTCTTCCACTTCATCCACCCTGTTCTGATTCTATGGGATACATCTCCCTCTAACTCACCGTCCTTCTGAATTATGGAGCCCAAGTAACGGAACATATCGCTGACTGGTATCTCCTTACCATCCAGAGTAATTCCGCTATTACCACTACTTCTACCTCCACCAAACTTGCACTCCATGTACTCTGTCTTGCTCTGACTTAGTTTGAAACCCTTATTCTCCAATGTTTGTCGCCATACTTCCAACTTTGCTTTAAGACCTGATTGCGTCTCATCAATCAATACAATATCGTCGGCAAACATCATGCACCACGGTATATCATCTTGAATTGACTTCGTAAGTTCATCCATGACTATGGCAAATAAGAAAGGACTCAAGGCCGATCCTTGGTGCACTCCGATAGTAATAGGGAACTCTTCAGTCCTCTCTACACTAGTACGAACACTTGTAGTACAATCCTCATACATATCCATGATGATGCTGATATACTTGCGTGATATGCCTTTCCTAGTTAAGGCCCACCAAAGAACTTTTCGAGGTACCCTATCATATGCCTTTTCTAAGTCAATGAACACCAATCTATACTTCTCCCACTACGACAAAATTGGCCTTTTGTAACACTTTGTATGCAACATTTTTTTATTTTGTTACATATAATATATAGATCTAAAATTACGCAACACTTGTTTATAAATGTTACTTAAATCATTGGAGTATGAAATTATGCAACACTTATTGCATATAATTAGGTTTTATGTAACACTTATATTTTAAGTGTTGCATTTGATAAATAAATAAATTTACGTATTGTTCGTATGTAACACTTCTCAAAAATGTTGCTTCTAGTTAAGTCTTATGCAACATATATTTCCTAAAAATAAAAAATTAATTAATTTTGATTTACTTTTTAATCGTACACTTAAACTTTAATCCGGGCCGCGGTTAAACTTTATCTGTTTGCGCCGATAAACTTTTCAGCCTAGGAGTCAAAGGAGAAAGCACAACCCTTCACCAAATCCTATCAACATCCTCAACTCGGCTCCAAAGCTTGCCTCCTTCTGGCTTTATCAATCCATCAGGAGTACAAAGATCGTCTCCTTCTAGCTTTCTCAATCGACGGTGACCGCAAAAGCTTGACTGCTTCTAACTTCGTTAACCACCTTCGCTCCAGAACCGCCACCAGCGCAGCTCCACCATCGCCGGCCCATTCTGCTCTGCTGCGGTCCATATTCAACCGAGGTACGCCTTTTACCTTGATCTTGTACTACTTAGTTCTTACGATTTATCTTTTGCTTGGATGTTCGTAGGGATATCAGGTTGATGGATTAATGAGTAATTATTTGTTCTGGTTTGGTTTCTGATTAGGTTTTCAATTTTTCTGAAATTGAGATGTGCTTTATCTGAATGTTTGGAATGTCTTCTTCAACAAAATACCCTGACTTTGTATTTCGTTTTTCTCTAATCAAACTATTCAATTTTCTGTCTTGGTTGTATGTTATTGGAATTATATATAATCTGTTTCAGAGAGTGAGTGGAGTTTCTGAACTAGAAAGAGTGAGCCAGCAAATGGGATTTTAAAACAAAGAAAATAGAAAAATATAGACACGAGGGTGAGGAGGTAACAGGCGTAACTGTGTGGGCCCGGAAGCTCAACGTACTTATGACAGCTGGGCATCGACTCGTTACAACCAGAGCAAGACATTGCATGGAATTATATATAATCTAATAACAACTTGGTTTAATTTTTGTTCTGGTAAAACGAATTTAGGTGTTTTTGGATTATGTGTATCATAATCTTTAGCTTTGACTACTTATGGTGTATTTTATTTATACAGTTTGAATATGAATAGGAAAGGTCTAAACTAAGTTGGATAAGGATCTAAATTACAAACCATTGCAAGCAATTAGTTCAGATTTGAATGAGAGGATTTTAAAACATGGTGTACATGGATGAATTGAACTTTACTGGTTCCATCTGTTTTGAACTAAGCAGATTGACTGTAGTGTATTTTGTTGAGATATTTAGAGCTCAAAATACGGTTTGATTGACTGTTGATAATTTTTTACCTAACCTGGTCATTCTCATGTGTAATAGGTTTGATTGAAAGTCTTAAAGCCATAGATGCCAGAATTTTTTGCCTTACTATTATTCATTAAAAGGTGTGAAATTTGGTGTTTAATAGTGAAAGCTACTAAACAACTACAGGAAAGCCAAACCTTTACTCCTTAGTACATGAAAGGTGGATTGTATTTTAATAACATCTGAAACATAGCAATTTAGAGAGCAGTTTTTGATTCGGTAAGAGAGTGAATATATGACATCTTACTTCATTTTACCTTTTTCCTTATTGATTTTTTCTACCTTTTTTGAATAGTGAACATCAAGATGAGGTCTCTAGAAGTAAAAAACGAACCAGGTGGGCAACAGATTCAACCATAGTAATGAATTTACATATTGGTTAAAGGATAAAATATCATATCAATGGTTCGAGAAAGAGAAAAGACAAGCCTAGAAATGATCCTAACTATGATCCTAATGAAGAAAACAATTCCTTAGAGGTCACAAAAAGAGTAAGCCCGGTGAAGAAGGTAAGTCTTACATATGAGATTAATTAATACTTTTGTAATTAACTATATCTATCTTTTTAAAAAAGATAATTTGACATATCAGGAAATTCAGGATATAATCTTTGTACTTTGAAAGTGGTGTACTATATCTAAGGTTTTGTGTTTTTTTTTGTAGAAAAAGCAAAACTGCATTGCACCACTATCACTTCACAGGGTTCTAAGGAATAAGAGACCTCAAGGAATGTCAACAAATAAACCTATGGACCAAAATGAATCTCGGAAAGAGGTCACAACGCTATTCCAAGACAGTCTTGTGAATAAAGTTGCACATAACAAAGCTATTCCATGACAGCCTACAGAGAATAAAAAAAGCAAGACTTCACCGGGAAATGCAGTTATCAATATGGCTGAGTTTTTAAGGAAAAAAAGTGAAGAGGATCCAAGGTCAAATATGCAGTCTGGATTTGAAGATCATAACCGCCATCTTGAAAATAATGGTATTAAGTTGAAATTAATTTTTTGTGGATATATTTTTGGACCATAGTTTATTCTGCACACACAATATTTTTAGTTTTTGATAAATAGATATTGAGTTCAATTAAGGTATGAGTTACTAATTTTTGTTATGCTAATACTGAAAGTGATAGCCTGTATGCGAGATAATGCACTAAGGTGGGCAGGACATATGATTTTATATACTAATGTTGTATTATATTGTATATAGGGATATAATTAATTTATTTCTATGGATTTCCCATAATATCCTTTTTGTGGACATGCACTTATGTTATTAAGTTAGTTTTATTTAGACTATTTGTGGCGATGATGGTCATCGTCGTGCATCATGATCTTTGATGTTATTAATACAATTTCTCATTCATTATAAATTATATCTCTTGATATAGAATTAAACACGTCCATATTAGCAATCTAAAATTCTATCTCCTGATATAGAATTAAACACGTCCATATTAGCGATCTAATTTTAGAGGTTTGACTATACACATTCTGAGTTCTCTAGTTATTTTAAGCAGGTGGTGACAAAGATACAAAAGCGAATATTAGCGATGTTATGATTGATGATCATGTTGAAGACGAAGAGAATGATGATCTGAGTGAACAAGTTGAGCTTGAACATGAGGTAACAGGTGATGAGATACAAAAAAAATCAAGTAAGTGTTTTGAGTTCTGTTCTATATAAATAGGTCTTTTATTGTTTGTTTATTGTAGAATGTGTATAAATGGTAACAAGTTGAGTTTGAACGTGAGGTAACAACTTTTTATTGTTTGTTTATTGTAGAATGTGTATAAATGGTTTTCTATTTATCACAGGAAACTACCCTACCAAATAGTGTTGACATACCGTTATCAACTATGTATGAAGCTACACGCAAAAGAACAGAGGGGCGTCAATATAAAGATTCATATGATGATATTGCTACAAAAATTGTGAGTCTTGCATAGTCCTAGTATATTATCTCTTAATTATTTCAGTGACTTGACTGTTTTTGTTGTTGCATCAAAGCAGTTGTTCCAAAGTGGATTCCTGTAGAAAATTAGATCTCCTGTATTTTTATTATGAAAAATCAAGTCTTTCTGAGTAAACTCAAAATGATCAGTACAAGCAAGGGAGAAAAGGGGCATGTATTAGCCTCACTTAGAAAAATCATCTCTATCTCTTGCACAGAACCATCTCAAAAGTATTGACTTTTGAGTTAATCTATTGGAGTTGTGATATATGGTAGTGATATGATACTCCTGCAAACTGTTGGAATGTTTTTTGCAACATGGTGCATTGAGTGTAAATTTATGGAGCAATTTGCCATTTGTTTTTGTGTAAAATTATATACTTCCAGAGCTTATTTTTTGTTATATGGAGTACTTTAGTTTGTTGTATCTTTTCTGTGGTACTCACACACTTAAGAGCAATTTATTTTGCTTATATGTTAGATCAGTTTTTTTTTTGTTTCAAGTACAACAATTTGAGTAAAAAACTGGAGTACTTACAGAGCTTATTTTTTGTTATATGGAGTACTTTAGTTTGTTGTTTCTTTTCTATGGTACTCAGACACTTGAGAGCAATTTATTTTGCTTATATGTTAGATCAGTTTGTTTTTTTGTTTCAATTTATTATCGTAATGTCATTTGCAGATTTGAGATGCATAATTATGAGGCAAAAAAGTGGAATAGTTTAATGATTATCATCATATGTCATTTACAGATTGAAATCAAGAATTTTGAGGAAGAAAATAATGAAGAAGGTGAAGTTGCAATTGATGGTGCTGCTGTTATGCCAAAGAAGAAAAGTGACGGTCCAATAATGCGTGGAAGAGGTGTTACCAAGAAAGACGACCGTACAGTCGTATGTCATGACTTCTAATGATATGGAGACAATTATGAGCACTTTGAGAAAGGAGATTGAAGAGAAAACTGAGAAAAAGGACGCCGAGCTAGAACAAATGCAGAAAGAGCAAGAGATTCAGAAACAGAAAATGGATTTGATTCTAGCAAAGTTTTCTGCCATGATTCCAAGTTTTGATGTCACCTCGCCTGGAGTATAGACCATAGAGTCCAAAATATTTAATTAATTTGTTAAAAGAATAATTGTGTGACTTTAGATTCGTTACTAGGTCATGACAGATTGTTTGGAATGTTGATTATATTGTTATCCATTTGAGTTTCTCTTTGACAACATAAAATATGTTATGGATATTGCTTGATTAAATAATGTAATATTGCAATGCTTTTAACATTTTCATTGATATGTGTTGATCAAGTGGTTGTATATAGGTACGTAGCAATATGTTTGACAATAAAAACAAACTATGTAAGTAGTTTGTATAATTACATATTAATTGCTTAATTACAGAATAACTATATATATATGTGTATATATTACATATTCTTAGAAAAGTGTTACCTATAACTCAATAAAAGTGTTTCCATTTCGAGAAATTTGTTACATAAAAAAGTGATAAAAATGTTACATTATGTAAATTTATGTTGCAAAAGGATATATTAAATATGTTACCTAAGTATCATAAATGTGTTGCAAAAAGTCATATTATAAGTGTTGCATTTTATGCAAATACGTGTTGCGTAAGATGGTGTTTAATCCCTCGTCTAAAAGTGTTACATTAGTGTAGTTTATGCAACATCTTTATTAAATATTGCATAATATAGTGAAAAGTGTTGCATATGACTTTATGCAACGGGATCTGAAGTAACGCTCCTAAAAGTGTTGCTTAAGCTTTTTGTAACATTTTAACTATGTAATGCAACATTTTATAGGTGTTACAAAAGGTCTATTTTGTTGTAGTGTCCATAAGTTGACGAAGAAGGTGAATAGCCTCAGTTGTTGAGCGACCGGGCATAAAACCGAATTGATTCTCTGAAATCTTCACAGTCCTTCGAAGTCTTTGCTCAATCACTCGCTCCCAAAGTTTCATGGTGTGACTCATAAGCTTAATCCCTCGATAGTTGGCACATTCTTGTACATCACCTTTATTCTTAAATAAAGGGATAAGAGTACTCTTCCTCCAACTCGTTGGCATCTTGTTGTTTCTCCAAATCATGTTGAAGAAACTTGTTAGCCACTCGACGCCTCTCTCTCCCAAACTTCTCCAAGCCTCGATCGGTATGCCATCTGGCCCCATTGCTCTTTTCCGTCCCATCTTCCTCAGAGCTTCTTTAACTTCCATTGTTTGGATCCTTCTCACAAAATCACGGTTTACCATACAATCTGGTATGGACAAATCGCCGATATCTTGCGTTTTGTTCCCGTTGAATAGTGTATCAAAGTATGACCTCCACCTCTCTTTTATCTCTCCGTCGTCCATTAATATCCTCTGATCAACATCCTTCACACACTTAACTTTTGCAATATCTTGAGTTCTGCGATCACGAAGACGAGCAAGTCTATAAATATCTAGTTCTCCTTCCTTAGAGTCCAACTTTTCATACAACTCCTTGTTCACTTTCCCTCGTGCTTCCCTTACGGCTTTCTTTGCTTGTCTTTTAGCCTCCTTGTATGCTTCTATGTTCTCATCACTCCAATTTGTCCCCAACTCTTTGTAGCAATCTCTTTTGTTCCTTATGGCTTGTTTCACCTCATCATTCCACCAAGATGTGTCCTTTTTAGGTGGCCGACATCCTTTAGATTCTCCTAGTACCTCCTTTGCCACTTTGTTAATGGTCAACTCCATTGATAACCACACATCATCCACCTGTGTTTCATTATCAATACGCCATACATCTTCACCGACCATTTTGTGTGTAAAGCTTTGTTGAAGATCTCCCTCTAGCCTCCACCACTTTATCTTTGGCTCCACTTGTTGTTTAACTTGTCTTCTATGGTTCTTACCTCGAAAGTCAAGCACAAGCATCCTATGCTGAGTGACAACACTCTCACCTGGAATAACCTTACGATCAGTGTAGCTAGATCACCTTGTAACCTATATAAGTGGAGCTAATAGTACCCAAATTGACTACTTCTTAGTACTCTTTCACATTTGGTAGCCAAAGATCAGAAAAATCATATCATAACTGATCAAAAAGATTCAGATTAGATCAGAAAGATTCAGATCAAATCAATCCAGATCAAAAAAATCCAAATCAAATCAAATCATAAAAAATTCAGATCGAGTGAACGGAATAGCTTCTACGTTATACAAATTCATTTCAGTACTTCACACATAGGAAACACATCACAAATAAAATAAATAAAATTAACTATGCAAGCTAATGTAATATGGAAAAAAACCATTAAAGAAGCATACATCAACGATTTCAAAAAATCTAAAAAACTCAAAAAACACATTTACACTTTGTTAAAAGTGTAGGATCAGAAAATTTTAGTAAAAATCAATTCTAAAAAACAGAAAACTACTACCTCCATCCCATTGGAAGGTTCCCATAGCAAAAACAACACTGTTATTTAGGCAATAATTAAATAAAGTACTTCGGGTATATTTTGAGAAATAATTTTAATAGATATATATTATAATGTAATTAGTATTGATAACTGTGATGTTATAAATGTATTATATTTAATATTTAATGATTAATTTGTCACTTAAGATTGCTAACTGTTTTCTAAAATGGAAATGAGAACTTTTATATGGGACGTCCAAAAGAAAATAAGTACATTGACGGGAGTATTATGCAAAACGAACCAACGAACCATACATATGTTAGTATGTTACCATTGACGGGAGTATTATGCAAAACGAACCATACATATGTTACCATTTTATACACGTAAAGTAAGCAATAAAGTATTTCATCAAGAAAAGAATTAATACTCACTTTGACATTTTTCAAGCATTTAATCGACACTCAATACCTATGAGACAACTTGAAAATTTAAATTGTAGTATTAGTGAAACTGTGAAAGAGTGAGAAAGATGTTTCTAATCATATAGTTACACAATTTGAATTTTTAAACTTCGCATGAGCTAATGTCAGTTGTGAGTTAAGAGTTGTTGATATAATTGAAAAGGACAAACATAGTGCAGAAAGCCAGAAACTAAGATTGCAAAAACAATGAATTGATAGAGAAAAAGATTAACAAATAACCTAACTATTATCTCTCTACTCAAACTAATTACAAAAATATCGGGATTCCCTTAAAACAACTGGTTGTACAACTTGTACCATATAATTTGTCTATGCTTTGGGAGTTTGGGATGAAAGGAAGACTTTGAAAATCAGCCCAAAGAGGCAAAGAGGAGGGAAAGTGAAAGATTTTTTTGTTTTGTTTGGGAGTTACAAACTTAGAAAGGATGTGGTTGTGGAGGAATTAAAATTAATTCTGAACTCAATCAAAATTATCATCTAATTTGGTATCCTTCAAAAAATCCTACTTTGAGTTAACTTTTGAAGATTTGAGGATTTGAAGGATTTTCGGGGTTACAAGAACTCTCTAAAAAGACTAAAATTATCCCTTTCAACTTTTTAAACTCCCAAACAAAAAGAGAGGGTCATAAACCCCTCAACCTTCCTCTCCTCTCTAAAACCTAACTCCCAAACAATACCCTTAATTGCCCACATGACGACTGCATTATATTAGATAATTAGGTCGACATATCCGTGAAGTAACACAAATCCCGAGAACTCATGAAAGATCAATCCCACTCAATTTACAAAATGTATGTGCAATCAATCTGTAGAAATTCTACTACAGATCCTAGTCTACTTCTACAAGTGTATTCTTGAACTACTAAAGTGCAGAGCATAATACTGCTCTTCCAAGTACAAACTGAAACTCAATGCTGATGAACATTAAACAATACAACAACAACAACAACAACAACAACAACAACAACAACATTCAAACCTTAGTCCCAAAAGATTTTGGGAATCAACGTTAAACAATGAATGTAAATAAAGAATAGAAATATCATTTTTTTTAAATGACCATATGGCTTCTGAACCATATGGCCTCTGAACCATACGGCTTCTGAACCATATGGCTTCTGAACCAAATTCAAATTCTCAAGTGACCCAGCCAATCACCAAAGTTTAGAGATTTCTTTTTTTTACCTTCTCTATGAGCATCTTCAACCCAACCTTGATCATTTGTGTGCAGAGATGCCATGACTGCTGCTTGTTGAAGGCAACTCTTGTTCTGATAGAGCATTAAGTGTTAATTGTGCAGCAATTAACTTCTCTCTCAGTATGGCATTGTATTTATAAAGATTTTCAATATTTCTCTGGAGATGACTCAAACTCATTTGCTCGGAAGCATGAAATTCTGTGAACAGTGATGAGCAATCAATTAATCACAGGTTCCGCAAGAATCAGTGAAGAAGATGAAGAAAAATTACAGCACCTAAAGACCTGTAAGAGTGTAAGGAGGAGGCTTTTGGAGGGCTTGGTCCATATCTTCTTATACAATAGAAATTTTATAAAACGAGAGAGATTAAAATAACATGTGATCGTATAAAACATTTCAATCATATTTTATTTTGTTTAAAACTATTCTATTCAGCAAGGTATGAACTATACTCTCCAAATTCTTCTTCTCCAAACCCTCCATCCAAACAGACCTGAAGCAAACAAGTTAACATGGATGCTTTTAAATAAAAGGGTTATTCTTGACCATTTCACCACACTTGCTCATAAACCACCTCATGCTTTACTGGGGAAAGTCGGAAGAGATGGAAACTATTGTCTTTTAGTTTAACTATTAAAACTTACCTAATGAAGGAAGTGATGGAAGATCTAAATCACCAGATGCATGATGCAAGGGAATTCTGCTGTCATGATTTCCATCTTTGACATGAGGTAAAGTATCTTCCTGAAACTGAAAAGCACAAAAATCTTCATGTTAATTCCTAGAATGTGCAGGAATTTAACTCAAGGATTGTTGAATACAAGAAAAGGAAGGCCTTGAGGATTTCGAATGTAGTGATGTGATTCGAAAATCCAACATATCTGTTAATTATGAAACTAGCTAGTTTGACAAAAAAAACAATCCACCGCAATAACAGGCAAGATAGCAATCACATTAAGTGACAGAATTGAAGCAGCAGTAGTTTAAACACAAATATTTAAGAGCTTAACTATTGAACCATCATTGAAACGATAGCATGGATTCGTTAAAAAAACTCCAAGGAGAAGAGTAGGTGAACTACCTGTTGAGCATTTAAGGATGCGCTTTTTTCCTCGTTAGATATTGGATGTGCCCCCTTCTGAGCAATACCAGTCTCCTCCAGGATGGTTTTCTGCATAAGTGCAAGGATAACCCAAACATCCAAATTTAAAGAAATCCAGTTTAATATTTCAATACACCTTTTGAAGGATATAAGTATATACTACCTCCATCCCGCTATGATTGTCCCATTTTACCTTATCGGTCCGTCCCACTAAGATTGTCCCATACCAAATTTGGTAAAGTTTGTGTGGCTCTAAACCATTCTTACTTTATTCTTACTTTATCAATTCAATATCAACCACATAAACTACTTTTTATTAATTTGAGTGTCACTCCCTCTTGTCCCATTGTTAGCGAGACGGAGGGAGTATTATATAACAATAAGTAAGCAAGACGTGTCACCTTATTTTCCAGCAATCTATCCTTTTTGCTGAAACTTAGGGTATCTAGTCCCCTTTTCTCTCTTTGTTTGTGTAATGAACCCTTATAATGCAATGCAACACCAGTACAACACCCATCATCTCTAACATTGTTATCGATGTCTCCCAATGATCCCAAGTATGTGTACATCACATACTTCCTTACCTGTATGATGGAAAATTTAAATTTATAAAACTATATGTGGGATGAGAAGAGAAAACAATGCTTATATTTCAGTATCATATTCTATGTTTCCTAAAACCAATCTAGAGGTGTGCCCATGTTCAAAAAATGGTAATGGGAACCAAACAAAATGATGTTGGCCCCTACATGGGGGTGGGCATGCCTGCTGCAGTGGTAAGTGTGCCTAATCGGGCTTTCTTAAAGGCACTCCATTATACCTACATTAAAACTTCTTCAATTTTTATTAGTTGATGTTTTACGAATTAGCACTGCAATTAAGGAAAATTAATTGGGAAAATAACTACAAGCACAAGCACAATAATTAAGAACACAAGCAATGAAAGCTTGAGTTTTTGAGATCGGAACTAATGGCAATTCATTCGAATGAACATACCTCTACGTCTTATCCTCATTTATTAATTTAGGATTAGATCTAATTATACAAGAAAAAGGACCACTTTCTTATTTAGTACTCCTCAAACACTCTCTAATAAAAAACAGAACCAAAAGGCTAAAACATCAATTTATTAAAAGGGAGGGAGTATCAAATAACTCACCTTGCCCCAGTGATCTTGGGCTCTTCTTCGGCTTATAATCCTTTGCATCACACTGTCTTCATTACGTAGTTTCTTGATTCTGCTTTCACACTATAAAGTACAAATAATTGAAGACATGTGCGGAAGAATATGTCATTATCATTGTTCATCTAAAATTAAGTCTACGCTACACAAAAATGAAGACTTGGCCAGTCAATTGTAAAAACAGCAGAATAGCTTTGCAGCTACACCTTCTAGATAGCTAAATACCAAGTCATCAGTCAAAGTTCATGTTTAACAGTTATCCCATATCCAACTGGTGACTCAATTCCAGCATGGCAACTATACCCACAGCAAATGGCATTTGTGGTTCAATTGCAAATAATTATATCTAGAGAAACAACCAACCTGCTTAGCACATTTCATAAAACAGTGCAAGGGCAACAAAAACCTGACTTGTTAATACAAAAAGTGAATGGAAATATACCTGTGCCAACATGAAGAAGAAGATAACAATGCTGATACAATAAAGGCCACCAAGATCCGCGAGGAAGCTTACTGCATTCTTGAGGAAGGAAGTTATGTTAAATATTACGGGTAGCTCACAGAGAACCT